TTTTTTTTTTTTTTTTTTTTTTTTTTTTTTTTAAATGGGTGGCAGAGGGGGAGGGAGAGGGCAGGGAGGGCCGGGACTGAAAGGGAAGAGACTTAAGATTGGGATCGCACTGTTCTAGTTAGGAGCTCCCGCAGCTCTGCACCTCATGTAAAGAGAGACACATTTTGAATCCTTTTAACCTAATCTGAAGGTAATGTAGAAATTGTGCGTAGTGAAGCATTTTAGTTGAGCAGAAGCCATGGGGAGGGCTTGAACCACAAACCTGTTGTATTTTTGAAGTGCAATAACTTGGTGTTTTTGAAGACTTAAAAGGGCTGCACATTCCCTTTTCTTTCTTTTCTTTTCTTTTTCTTTTTTTTTTAAGAAGGCTTTGTTTCTGGAGTCGGTGCCAGCAGCCTGCAGGACAGCTGAAGCCCATCAACTAGACGTGTGGCATCGTGTAGGAGTGGGGCAGGGTGGAGGGGAGGGATGGCCTTCAAGAAAATGCCAGGTGGGAGAATCTCAGTTTCTAGCCAACTACCTCGGTAACTCCAATTCAGGTTTATTTCAGACGTGAAACAGTGCAAAGCCCATCACTGGTACTTCTGACGGCACGAACGTCATGATGTTGGGGACAGAGCCAAGGGGCAACGAGTGGAGCACAGTGACCACGTATTACGGCCTCTGGACTTTTCCACTTCTCTGTTCTGTTAAGACTTTGGTCCCAGACCCAAAGCTACTGCTATGCTCTTGATGACAAAATATTGTTGCTTTTGAGTTTCCAAATGGTAACCTTTTTGTCTTGTAGAGATTTTGTAATTAACTTTGCATAATTTGCTCTGCCTGTTCCTAGTTAAAAGCCTCTGAAGTCTGCATTGCTTTGGACCTTGCTGACTTTCTCGTCTGTGGATGGGAATAAATGTTGGAAGGAAGCTGGCATGTTGACTTGGCCCCGTGAACGTGTACAAGGGAAGGGTGGAGAGCAACGTAATGGCCTTTAGCAGTGCACTGTGCACCAGCCCAGCTGAGTGGTAATACTGCAGCCAAGGCCACGCAAGTAGCTTTCAGTCATACTGTATATAGGCTTTCTAGCTACTGGAAAAAGGCAGTTGATCACTGAACACTTCCAGCCCCCGCCATGCCTCCAGCTCTTGCTGTTTGTTCCAGCTGCAGTGAAATGACAGACGTCTGGGCAGCATGAATCTACGTCATCCCTTAGAACCACCTCCTCCCCTAAAGCATCAGTCTGGAGGAAAGGAGGCAGCTATGTTCAATCACAGAACCAAAGTGATGGTGCTTTCAAAAGCACTTCTAATGCATTTAAGAAAAAGCAATGCATTTAAAATACCACATCGACTTAAAGCCATCAAGTTCCACCTAGAACTATTTTTAAATACCTTTAAGGACCTAGCCTAATGCATATAGGAAGAGAACAGAATATTATCCCATAGATGCTATTGAGCAGAATGCTTTAGACCCTGGCATTTGAAGTTCTCTTCAAATTCTCCATAGAGTCTCGTTGCATGATGTACAAGTAGAGTCTTCTCTGGTGCGGCGCGCTGTACCTCAGATTAATCTGCTTCAAGAAATCCCATGCCCTGTGGTGGCTGGTTATTGGGCTCTGCATCCCACCGCCTGAGGGTGGAGGGCAAAGAGCTGATGACCTTGAGCCACGTGGGCTTGTTCTGAAGGGAGGAGCCCTTTCTGCCAATCTGTATTTCTCCCAGCAAATGAAACAGGAGGCAGAAGGGAGCTCTTCTTGCCTTCTCTATCAGATTCTCTTCCCAGCCCTCCCCCATTACACCCCTCCAGGACCTTCTGCAAATGACTCTGGCAGGGGCCCATCAGGCAGAGGGAGAAATAATAAAAGAAGCCTCTTCAAGTTTCCTCTCGAGCACCAGCATGCGAAAGCACTGCCTCCTCCACGGAGGGGTGAGGGGCTGTGGAAAGGGAATGAGACAGGGGCATGTGGAGGAGGGAGGCAACCCAAAATTTTGTTTGCTCTTCCGCCATTTCAGTTCCACCACAGAATGACCTTTGTTTGTACGAAAGTTTCCGTTTAATTTTTTTCTTTTATTTTTTTCTTTTCTTTGCGCAAGTAAGCAATATGTTTTCAGGTTTCAACTGGGTTGGGGGGTGGGGGGGGACTGGGTAGAGCTCAGACATTAAGTTTTACTGTATAAAGTTGTGCGGCTTGCATCCCCGGCCGCAAGGTAGCTTTAGAGTCCAGTTTTTCTAATATTTGTATTCTAATTTAATTGTTTTTAAATTTTCCAGGCCAAGCCACTGTTGGGAAACATCATGCTTCTGTTACTGCTTTCTGTTTGAGTTGGCCAGCTCTTCCTGTACATATGTTTTTTCTTATATCCTGTTTTTTTCTTTTTGTAAAGAGAAGAGAAAAAGCAAAAGAAAATTATTTTTCTTTCCCTCAGTACACATTCTTCAAAGTTCAGAATTATAGTGTTTCTTAAATAAAAAGAAAGATTTACATTTAATTCCCAGCTTTGTCCTTCTCCATTGTGCTATTGGATTTTTTTTCTCTTTCTGACCCAGTGGCAGTAGATTCTCCATTGCTTTGAGATTGGGCACTCAATTTTCCTCTTCCTGTGCACTGCCGTTGGTTTCACCAGGGTCAAGAGATACCATTTATTACCACATTGATTTACAAGTGTTAACTCCACTTAGGCCTGATTATATTTGACAAAGGTCCAGGGCAAGGGAGAAGCTTTAGCAAGAAGCAGGATTCACCAGAGGAACTGCTTATTCTGTGTGCTGAAGAAGTCCAGCCCAGATGGTTGCTGTAGTCCCATCCAGCATGATATTCATGGACCTGCAGAAGATGGCAGAGGAGTTGGGCAGGCAGAGTGGGGACAAGGTCATCTCTCTCGGTTGTGATCTCATTATGACTACTTAGCAAACTAGTTGGCTTCAGACAAGGTTTGCACTGCATGTAGCTAATGCTCAGCAGTGGCAGCCCAGCCTCTATTGCCTGCAGCTGTCCTTGTAACTGGTTGGGCGCCCTTTTTGGTCACTAGCAGGAGATCCCTTAAATAGCTGATGTAACCAGTCTGACTGCTCCTTGCTCTTGCTGAGATGGGGAGAGTGTCCTAGAAGTCACTGAAATCTCTATATGCTCTACATTAAGGAGGAATACACATCCTTGTCAATTAGCAAAGAATCAGAGGAGGGGCACTCTGAAGTGCTCTGGGTTAGAATACAAGGCAGTTGAAGGGAAAGAGACTTAAGGG